GGGGGGGGGGGGCACCCAGGTTGGTGCCTATGCTGCTGCTACAATGTTTCAGCACATCCTATGTAACCGCTTGAACTCGGGTCTTTTCGATGTAGGCAAGGAACACCGCTTGGTTCCACTCAGGCAAAAAATAGGCTTTGCAGGGCTACGTTACCGCAGGATGTAAAGGCTCTTATCACACCCTACAGTGAAAGCACAGCGTAGACCAGGTAGAGCTGACGACAGAGAAGCGATTTAATAAACTGTATGGCGTCTGCGTCCAACACACACGGAGAGGACCGCGCCCGGCAGGCGACGTCAGCACAGGACAGAAACCGAGCATTCACACGGGACCCTCACGCTGCTGCCTTCACCAAAAAGCCTCCCGAGACCCACGGAGCATCCTAACAGTCACCAGCGGTGTGACATGGACACGGGGGGGGGAGGGGGAGGGAGGGATCCCAGCCCAGCACATTTTATAAAAATAAAACAAAACAGAAAAACCCCGACACTCTCAGCGTGAAAAGTCTGCGAAACCAGAGGTCAGTTTGTTTACTCACAGGTAGCATCCCAGCTCCTCAACCGTCCCTTTTCTTTCTCACAAGAAATACTACTTATTGCATCCATGGGACATTGACCCCCAACCCAAAATGTCATAACTAAGTTGTAAAACACATCTTTTCTTAAAAATATTAGTGATTACTATAAGGGAAGATACAAACCATTGAGCACAGAATTACAACTCTCTCCTGTGAGTTATGAGAGAGAAGGGGCAGCTACTCAACAAGCGTGGTCGCGACTTGCGAGATTGCTGGAGGCTGAGCCCCGGCCCCTGGGGGAGACTCGATCGGGGGGCGCACAGAGGCGATGACACAAATAGCTGGTGTTTTACACTCACTGTGCGCCCGGCACTGTGCTAAGAGCATCACACACACGTAGCCCACACAGTACCCGCTGTTGTGTCGAGCAGCATAGCACTGACCGGTGAAGGAATCAGAGAAGGTGAGTGACTTGCCCAGGGGTGCACAGCTCGTGGGGGCAGAGCCAGGACTCACGCCTGGATCTCTCCGATGGCAGAAACTCGCTCTGCACTGACCCTCTGTGGCCAGAATCAACCTGTGCCACGGAGAATGGTCGGGCGCACCCCGTTTTTGTTGGTCTAATTCTGAAAACATGCAAGGGAGTCACGCCTTGTTGGCAGGTGCTCTGATGGGAGAGGAGGCAGGAGAGGACCGTCCCGGGTGAGAATCCTCTCGCTGCTCTTAGCACGGTTTCTCCTGTTTTTGGGGGGTCCCGGCTCAGATGAATCTGTTTCTTACTCATGCTGGGTGTATTTAGGATGCTGTCTGGGGCAGTGTGGACGGAGCTGCCCGGCCCTGTCACAGTGTGTGGCTGCATTTCTGTTCACTCGTCTTCCGTGGAGGGACGGCGGGTTCCTCCTGGTGACGCTGCTGCTGCTGTGAGGCCAGGGCTGCGTGTGCGCCCACAGCTCCCGCGCGTCCATTCCCGGCCGGTGGCGGCCGGGCAAAGGCCCAGCATGGTGCAGTTTGGGTAGATAGTGTCCAACTGGACAGATACACGATATGGGGTGATCGGTCCACACGGGCACTTTCCGAGAGAGGTTTGTAAGGAAAGAACACTAACGTTTATCATAAGTGCTCAGATGTGCCTCCCTGATTCCATCAGGATTCCAGTCTAGAGGAGTCACCGTAGGTTCTGACAGACGTGCGGGGCATTTGTCGTAGGATTATTCATAAGGTGGGACACGGGGACGACCGGGGACAGCAGAGGGCGGGCAGAGTGACGTGCCTGAGAGGAGACCGTGGCCATAACACGAGGGGTGTTTATGACATGGTGTGGACAGAACACTGAAACCACACAGACAGACACACCCACAGACACCCAGAGGATGTCCAGGCCCCTCGGGACCCAGCACCCTTCCCTCCCTCCCCCGGCTGTTGTCAGAGGGGCTCCTGAGCCCATGCCTGGTGACAAATGGGGGGGAGGACAGAACTGAGCATGACACATTTAAGAAATAGGAGTTTGGTGGCTGGTGTGTGTGTGTACATGTGTGTGCATGTGTGTGCATGTATGTGCATGTGTGCATGTGTGTGTGCATGTGTATGTGCACATGTGCATGCTGGGGGCAGGCCCAGTGTGCCCTGGTCCTGTCTCCTGTGTGGCCCTGTCTGCAGGAAGTCAGGGCCCATGAGCTGCCCACCATCTGAGCCCGGGTTTCTGAGGGACCTGGGAGGGGACCTGGGGGGGATCCTGGCAGGACCGGCACCAGCCAGCCTGGTCCGAGCCCCGGCTGCAGCACTGTGCTTGCAAAGCTGACCTCATTCACGCTCTGCCTCCTCCAGCTCGAACGCAGTCGGGCAGGTATGGCTCTATAGGGTCACCGTGTGTCCCTCAGGCGCCTATTCTAAGTCCCAGCCCTGAGGCCACGAGACGCTCACAGCTCCGCACAGCGCTATGGCCAGCGGTGTGGGGCTCGGCTCCAGCTGACCATCCAACTTGGATTCCTGGGTAAACCAAGTCTTCAGGGAGGACACTGAGCCAAACAGTGACACAGCTTCCCCAGGTGCCCCCGTGTGCCCACCCCCTGTGGAATCACAGGGCCTGCCCCCTGCTCAAAGGGGGGAACGGCGGCAGGTGCCCTGAAGGTTCCTGGATATTCGCTCCAACGCAGGACCCGGGCACAGTCAACACTTTCAAGTCTCATAAACACACACAGACACACACACAAAGAAAAAGGAAAAACTGCAATAACAGAAAAACACACACGAAAACAAAACCAACACAAAGAAAACCGTTAATGTAACTGTGACGAGAGAGGGGAGGAGAGGAGGGTGGGCAGGGTCTCGGGAGGACAGGCCCCGGCCCTGCTGCACCTTAGAAAGGGTCCGGCAGCCACGGCCCAGCCCTGCAGACCCGGCGGGGGAAGGTCCCCGGACAAACAGGCACTGAGGCCACCAGGACCCTGCCCGCGGTAGCTCCCCAGGGCCTGGGCCCATGGGAGGTGTGAGTGGCTGTGTGAACTCTATCCAGCCAGAGGGACACTGACTGGACGTGAAGATTCTCCACCAGGAGTGCAGATGACACTCCCCCAGTTTCCCAGTCAGCCCTGCTCTGGGGAGGGGGGTCTTCGGTTGGGGGTGTCACCCGCCCGGCGTAGGTCGGCGTAGGTCGAGCCTGTCTCTACCGGCCACCGGACAGAGCGACGCCCGCTCAGAGCACCAGCCCTGGGGACACAGGGCACATTACCCTCCTCCTGCTCCTCTCCTTGGGAAGCAGAGGGGACAGTGGGGGGCAGGATTCCACCCTCCTGGCCATGTGCCCTTGGGCAAGTCACTCACCCCCGAGCCTCAGTTTCCCCGTGACACCGCCTGGCACATGGGGCCATGGTGGGGGGGGGGGCATGTGGTGGGCCTGGGGCTCCGTGACGTGTCGTCACCGTGGTTACTTTGACCTGGGCGACGGCAGTGACGTCCCAGCCATTGTCCCAGCCCCGCCTGCCCCACAGCGGCCTTTCACCCCACCAGTCGCCCCTTTTCCGCCACTTTGTTCTCTGCTCTCTGGTTGGCGTCTACACTCATCTGTTTTCATCTTGGGCTCGTTTCTTTACCTTAACACTCGACTTTCTGTGACAATGTTTCCTCTTGGCTTTTTAACGCCCTTAGTCCGACCATCGCCACGTTACGAGCTCACATGGACTGTGTGCTTTTCTTACTGCCGGAGGAAGTCTGATCCGACGTACACGTGCACCCTCGTGTTTAACGCCCCCCACCCCCAGCCCGCCCCCCACGTCCCAGTCCAGTCTCCGTCCACTCACTCATCCAACACTGACCGCGCACGCGCTGTGTGCCAGGCACTGTGCTGGGCGCTGGGTGGGGCCGGGCGGAGGTACCGCGGCTGCCGCGGAGACGCAGTCTCGGGGGATGGCGCCCAGAAAGGCGTCTAGGGGGGGTGGCCCTGTGAGCTGAGTGAGTGGG